ATATTAATTTTTAAATATGAGTATGAATTTTAAGTACTTTTTTTTTTTTTTTGTTTTTTTCTGTGTCCGGCAACGGATCGCAACCCTCAGTGTTGCCCCCGTACCGGACCGGGACCGGCAACGGGATCGCAACCCTCGGTGTTGCTCCCGCGCCTCGCTCAGCCAGTGAGCGGGAACCAGTCTGTATGTGGGATCCGAACCCTCGGCGGGAGCGCCGCTGCACTTCCCAAGCGGCGCACTATCGCAGTGCGCCACCGGGCCGGCCCCGAAGTGGTCTTTTAAAATATGGGTTAGATCATATCATTTGCATCTTATAATCCTGCCAAATATTTTAGCTGGCCTTCAAGGCCCTGCATGATCCAGATGTTTCCTATCATTCCTGCTTCACCTGGTCTGCCCTTCACTCCTGTGATCCAGACATACTGGCCTCCTTTTGGTTTTTGGAATGCACCCAGCTGTTACTTCTGAGTCTCTTTACATGCTTTTTCTTTGTCTGGAATGCTCAGCAGTCTCTGGTCTGTCTCAGCTTAAATGCTCTGTCCTCAGATAGGTCTTCTCTGATGAACACATCTAAGTGTGTTCCCTCACACCCACCCTGATCATTCTCTGAGTAGAGCACCCCACAGTCTCTTCAACAGCACTTTCTGAATTTGTGCTTACATGTTTAGTATGTCTGTTTCCCTCCACCAGACCGGAAACCATGACAGTTGGAACCGCGTCTATATTGTCACCTCTGTGTGCTAAGCACAGTGTCTGACGCAGAGTCAGCCCTCAACAGGTGCGGGTGGCCAACATGTGATGGGTGAATGAGTGGATAACCACGAGTGCTTGGCCCTCCCCAGGACCACGTTCACAAGTTGTGCTTCACTGAGAACCCACAGCTTTTATCAAGTATTATCAAGCCATATAAAAACTGATCTTACAGGGCCGGCCCGGTGGCGCACTGGATAAGTGCGCCGCTTGGGAAGCGTGGCGGCGCTCCCGCCCGAGGGTTCGGATCCCACATACAGACCGGTTCCCGCTCACTGGCTGAGCGAGGTGCGGGAGCAACGCCGATGGTTGCGATCCCATTGCCGGTCCCCGGTCCGGTGCGGGGGCAACACTGAGGGTTGCGATCCATTGCCGGACACGGAAAAAGACAAAAGACAAAAAAAAACAAAACAAAACAAAAAAAAAAAAACAAAAAAAAAACTGATCTTACAGATTGTATACACGTAGTTGATGAGAGCATTGTTCATTATATGATTCAGGGTACCATATATAAGGTTTACATTACAAATTTCTGTTAGAATTTAGTGTTCTTAAGTACTTCATTGCCCCTAAAAGAATTTTTAGACTTTCTCCTTTCTGATAACATCACATTTCTCTTTTTGCCCTGGCTGCCTGGACATTCAGAGACAAAGGCAAGGCTTAATCACAGCAACTTAGGATTGGCATTAATAAAGGAGTGGCTTATGAGAGAGACACAGGTTTTGGAGTCAAAGCTGGGTTTGAATTCCAGCTCTGTCACCATGTGTCTGTGGGTGAGAATCTTCAACGCTCTTATCCTGAGCTCCTTTATCTGTACAATGGAGGTGGCACCTGCCTTGCAGAGCTGGTGAAGTACCTGGACCACAGGAGTGCTCTGTAACTTTTTCTCTCAGCCTCCCAATTTTCATTAAATACATATATATAAACTGCCTCACATCCTTTTTGGAAAATGCATATATAAATAAATTAAAAAACAATAAAGTATTTGGTGATTTGGTGAGAAGTTGATTGAAAGCATATGCAATTTTAGAAGAACTATCAGATTTTTCCATGTATACTTATTAATATCTTAATATTCAAATCTCAACTCAAATATCCCCTGCTCACAAAGGCCTTCCCTGACCTACCTGCCTAGATACCTTCTCCTCCCCACCACTGTGTCCCATTACTCTACTTTATTTGCTTTACAGCCCTCATCACTATTTGAAATTATTCACTTGTCTTCTAGTTTGTATGAGCTAGTTGAGACCATGTCTGTTTCAATTTACCCCTGCACTCCCAGCCTCTAGCACAGTGCCCAGCACATAATCAGTACTCAGTAACATTTGAATGAATGGAAGCTAAGTGGAACATTTTGGTTCACTTTTTAGATAACTTTGAAAAGGAAAGTGCATTCTCTCTGGCACAGGCTCTGTTTTTAAGCCACACTTTTGGAAAATATAACCAAACACCTATGTAAAATACAACTACATATAATATTTTTTAAATTAGAACTTTTGAGCTAAGATGATCATTAGTCTAATCATTTATGATTGGCTCTTTGGGAAAAAAAAATTCTTTTTTTCTTTTAGGTCAAAGCGCCCCCTGAAATCAATTTAGTTCTGTACCCTCAGGGCCTAACTGGCGAAGAAGTATACGTGAAAGTGGATTTAAGGGTTAAGTGCCCACCAACCTATCCAGATGTGTGAGTACATTTATAAATAGCTTTGATGTAATTTCAGTTTTCTGTTTTGACAACATAAAAGCATATTGAAATTAATAGTACTTCCTCCTTCTTGCACCCATTCCACATAAAATATCATTTCCTATCACCTGTATTTCAACAAAACTGCATCAGCAGTAGACACTTTCATGAAACCAGTCTCTTTTTAAGTCTGCTTATAGTTGTAGAATAGTCACTACAAATGATAATATTTGCTCAGTGCCTACTTATTTGCTTCTTTTGACCTGTTAACTTTTGTTTATTTAATTCTTCATAAACTAGGAAGAGGAAAAATCTAGAAGAAAAGGATAAAGGTGTGGTAACTATTTAAAGGACTTATGCACTTAATTTTAGAGTATGACTGGCATTATAAATTAGGTAGCCTTCTGTGCCTAACATGACCTTTTACTGCCTAAAGTAAAGGGGCGTTGACAGTTGCTGTGCTTCTCAGTGGGGCACCTCTGGCAAGTCTTCATTGTGCAGAGCAGTCCTGTGTACTGCAGGATGTTTGGCATTCCTGGCCCCTACCCACTAATGCTAAGAGTGTTCTCCAGTCATTGACACAACCAAAAAATCTCACATATTTCTATACTCCTAAAAGTGATATCACCTCTGGTTGAGAATCACTAGTTAGGATAAAAATGTTAGCCATCTATATACTCAAGTGGTCTTTTTTTGAACTATCATGTGTATTCTATGTAATCTTTCCCTAGACATTCCACATGGAAAGGCAGATTGGCCTGGATGATGTTAAGTGGCCAGAACTTATTGTGCAGAGAACCAGTGAAGGGTTTTGAGAAGGAGAGTGGCAAATAAAAGGAAGCACTGCTTTACACAGTCGGTGGTAAATACATGGAATTTGTTATCCTAAGAGGTGATGGAGGATATGAAGATACAGATAGGTCAAGACTGAGCTCCTTGAAGTCAGTAACCCCCTTAAGCCCCCAACACTGTACTGAGAGTACATATAGTAGGTATGCAAAAAATCAATTAATGAAAAAAGGTAATTAAATTTATGAAAGAAAATTAAGACAGTGCCTCTCTAGGTTTTTTTTTTTCTGACACCACATACATAATGTCTTTTCCTACAACGTGTGGGTGTCCGACAATTCAATTCAATTCTGACATTAACTGTCCATAGTTAGCACAGGCCTCACAGTTTAAGGGCTCAGTACGACTGTGAAGTCTCAGTACTTCTGACATTTAAATTCTGGCTATAAATTGGGGGGTTCCCACAACCCTCTCCTGAATTTCCATTCTTTGCTAGAATGACTCACAGAACTTAGGAAAATACTTTACATTTACTGCTTTATCATAAAGGATACAACCCAGAAAAGCCACATGGAAGAAATGCATAGGGCAGGGTATGTGGGGAGGGGCGTGGAGCTTTCATGCCTTCTCCAGGCACTCACCTCCCAGAATTTCCCTGAACCCTGTTGTTCAGGGGTTTTTATGGAGATTTCATTACGTAGGCATGATTGATTGATTAAATCATTGGCCACTGGTCATTTAATTTGATCTCCAGCCCCCTCTTCTCCCTGGAGGTCTGGGGTAGGGCTGAAATTTCTCACCCAGTAATGAAGGCTTGGTCTTTTTGGCAACCAGCCCCCATCCTGAAGCTATCTAAGCACCTAACAAAAGTCACTTCATTAGCATAAACTCCATTATGGTTGAAAGGGGTTTGTTATGAATAATATAAGGTGCTCCTCTCACCCCTGTCACTCAGATAATTCCCAGGGTAATCGGAGCTCTGTGCCAGGAACCAGCATCAAGACCTTTTTTCTTTTCTTTTTATGTATGTAATATATATAATAGCCTTAAAAACTCAAAATGTTTATTCTTGTAAAGTCAAAATAAAAACTTGGATATCTAAATGCTAAGGTGTTAATTATAGTATTATTTATGAAAGTAAAGAAATTCGAAGTAGTCCATATGTCAAAGACTAGAACAGGGTTTTTCAACCTCGGCACTATTGACATGTTGAGTAGGATAATTCTTTGTTGTGGGAGCTGTCCTGTGCATTGTAGGATGTTTTGTAGCATCCCTGATCTCTACCTGCTGGATGCTAGGAGTACCTTTCTGCCCAGGTATGGCAACCAAAAAAGTCTCCAGACATTAACAGATGTCCCCTGGGGGCTAGACTCACCCCTGGTTGAGAACCACTGCACTAGAGAACTATTCAGATCAATCTTGATGTGTCCACTTGATAAAAATATTATGGGATAATTTTTTAAAGACAGCATGGAAATGCTTATAAAAAGTTAAAAAGTAAACATAATATCAGATACATGAAGTTATAAATTATTTGGCAAGGACATAAAGGGAAAATTTTTAAAGTTTAATTAATTAGTATTATAGATAAACTTTTCACCATTCCATTAATATTGTTATATAATGCTTAATTTTAGGAAATAATTACATAAGGTTTGATTTGGGGGAACAGTCTTCTCCTTTTGAAATGATGTGGTACAGGAAAATTTTCCTTTTCTGCAAAATAGTCCTTGATGCCATCATAATAATCGTGGGTTAGGTGGACTGTACATGTACTCAGGACTATATGGCATTTCTATTATTTTTCTCATATAAACTACTTTCAGATTTCCATCTATCCAGGTAGCTAATGATTGTAACAACCTATCATATTAGCACAGAGAGAATGCAAGGGTAGATGTCAAGGCTTCACTAAGAATTACTCAGAAATCCTTGGTAGGAAGTAATGAATCATCTCTTCAGTAAGATGAAATAAATCCTATTTAATCCCAGAGAGTTGTTATTGAACGTTTATTGGTTGGGAATAAAAGAAAACCCAAGGACTGGTTGTGTCATTTCCTTGAGTAAGATGTTGACTTAGACATCTAAGGGATAAAGAGGGGTATGAATTAGATGTCCTTGGAATAGGCAGAGTTTGCAAAGTATGTGTGACTAGGTTTATACAGGAGCGAGTGAACATTTCCACCTTGTTTACTATCAGAATGAGTGGTTGACACACAGCATGTTGTGAGAACACTGGATGTATCACTGTGGCTCCATCTTATCCAGTTATTCTTCTTCTGCTTTATGCTGGAGCACATGAATGAGTGCAAAGCATTTGGACTCTTGAAGGTGAGTTGTCAGAGCCAAGCTAATTGGCACTGAGTGCTAGGGTTGAGAATTACCATACAAGGGAGTACATGGTTAAGTTAGTAGGCTGGAGTCGGACACAGAGCTGGAAGGATTTTTTTTCTTTAAAAAGGAGAAGAAACCCAGAGTTGGCTATCCAAGGCAAATTAGAGGCAATAAATAGTAACTGATGCTGGGAAATTTTAATCAGATCATAAAGCTGAAACCAGAGACAGAGGAATTGGTGAGATACTGGATCAAACTCAGTAAGTCTGGGTCACCTGGAGGAGTAGGGCACCTGACAGCTCAGACTGAAGACTTTGGCCAGCCCACTTCTTCGCCACAGCCTGTGGGTAATTCTGTGTCACTGTGTCAGCTGGAATTGTGTGATATATGAGTAGTTGACATCCTTTTGAGAGATTTAAAGAGATGTTGCTGGTCGCATGGAGAAGCTCTCTTATAAGGTCTGTCAGAAATCCTCAGGCCCAGTGTGCTTGGAACTGAGCAGATATTCATGCAATTAGGCTATACTTTCTGGAGTAACTCCTTTTGTTTTCTTTTCCAGAGTCCCTGAAATAGAGTTAAAGAATGCCAGAGGTCTGTCAAATGAAAGTGTTAATTTGTTAAAATCTCGCCTAGAAGAACTGGCCAAAAAACATTGCGGGGAGGTAAGATTTGTTAAACTGTGATTATAAGAGGACAGTAAACATCTCCACCAGGCTCACCTGCATTTGCCTTCCTGCCTTTTCTTTGGCTTAAAGGCTTTTCTGTTGCACTTAACTAGAATGTTTTGTTTCTTTTTTTTTGAGACCGGCCGCACCACGCTCAGCCGAGCGACCCGGCCATCCCTATATAGGATCCGAACCCACGGCGGGAGCACTGCTGCGCTCCCAGCGCCACACTCTCCCGAGTGCGCCACGGGCTCGGCCCTAGAATGTTTTGTTTCTTATTGGTATCTACAAAGGGGAATATTGTGACATATTTATTTAATTTACAGGATTTATGAATTACAAGTTATAGAGTATATGTAGATGCTACTATTGATGCTTAAGAATTTTTCTGAAAACAGTCAGCGTGAACCTGGCCATACTTTTTGCACATGTAGGACCTGGCATTATGACCTGCTCTCAACTTGAACCTTCTCGTGGGAAAATGTTTGCAGATAAGCAATTTCTGACCAAACTTTGCTATCGTTCCCCTTTGCATTTCAGGAGAACTCATGGCTTTCCTTCAGGATAATTAGCAGCATACTCTACTCTTTCAATGTCTCTTCTATACCTGGGCATTTACTAATTCTTTTTTAATCCTCTGGATGTCTGGGTCTACATATGGTTCTTCCTTAGGTGGCAGAACTTTCTCTGGAGGGCAAGACTAGGTGACTTCTGGGGGCAGAGTATTACTATGTTTTCCTTAGGCCAGACCAGTTTCCTTTAAGTATAACCCATCTTTTTGGTAAAATCACTCAGTGTTTTTGCATCGAAATCTCATGCTTACTATCTCATCATGTAAAAACTGAGAAGAGTTAAGTAAGGACTAGACCTAGGACTCTGTGTCTATTGCACCTCTATTAATGATGACCAAAGGTGACATTTACCCAATGTAAACTTACTGCACAGTTTTTCACTTGCATTGCATAACACAGGGAGTCACTATGCAATTCATGACCTACCTTCTGACTATAAAAATTTTGTCCACCTAAATTGCTGTTTCCAAGAACTTTAGTAATTGGTGAGGTACAGAAAGTGATTATAGAAGAGCCTGGCTAAAAAGCTAGGTCTTGGGAATTATTTGAAAGTTCTTTCTAGTATAAGGGCATTTTAATGTCTGCCTGAAAAATTTCAAGGATATTATATAGGTGGAATCATATGGTGTGTAACTTTTTGGGATTGGATTTTTTCACTCAGCATAATTCTTTGGAGATTCATCCAGGTTCTTGCATGTGTCAACAGCTGTTACTTTTTATTGCTGAGTAGTATTCCATGATATGGACATACCACTATTTGTTTAACCATTCACCAGATGAAAGACATCTGGGTTGTTTCCAGCTTTTGGTTATTACGAATAAAACTGCTTAAACATTCATATACAGGGGTTTTTTTTGTGTGTGTGTGAACATAAGGTTTCATTTCTCTGGGATAAATACCCAGGAGTGCAGTTGTAGATGTACAATAGTTGCATGTTTAGTTTTTTAAGAATCTTCCAAGCTTTTCCAAATTGGCTGAACCACTTCACTTTCTTACCAGCAATCTGCAAGTGTTCCACTTTCTCCACATACTTGCCAGCATTTAATGTTGTCACTATATTTTTATTTTAGCCATTTTAATAGATGTTGTTATGGTTAATCTTACTTGTCGACTTGGCTAAGCCACGTTACCCTTGGTATTTGGCCAAACATTATTCTAGATGTTTCTGTGAAGGTATATTTTTAAATGAAATTAACATTTAAATTAGTAGACTTTGAGTTAATCAGATTATCCTTCATAATGTGGGTGGGCCTCATCCAATCAGTTAAAGGCCTTAATTGAGACTGACCTCCCCTGAAGAAAAGGGAATTCTGCCAGAAGGTGGCCTTCAGACTTGAACCACAACATCAGTTCTTCCCTGGGTCTCCAGCCTGCCAGCCTACCCTGTGATTTTGGACTGAGAACCTCTATAATCACATGAGCCAATTTCTTAAATAACTCTCTCTCTCTCTCTCTCTCTCTCTCTCTGTGTGTGTGTGTGTGTGTGTGTGTGTAGAGAGAGAGAGAGAGGGAGAGAGAGAGAGAGAGAGAAACACGCACATATCCTATTGGTTCTGTTGCTCTGGAAAACCCTGTTAGACGGTGAACAAAACTAATGCCATTTTGTGCTCCATCCACCATGTTGATTCCTACTTAACCCCATTCCTTTGTTTCACTGACCAGTTATACATTGACCTTAGGGCAAGCTGTAAACGGAACATAGGTTTCAGGGAGTGAATGATTTATTACAGCAGGTGGCATCAGTGGTCTGAGCACTAACATCACAAGACCCCCTGCTTCATGTATCACAGGATACCTGGTGAATGATGTTATTAATTTTCTTAACCTGTTTCCTTAAAGTTATTTACAGTAGCAGAGCTTTTGCTGTAGAAAAAACTTTGCCTAAATGCAGAGAGCTAGAGCTCTGATCTGCTGTAGAAGTCTGATTCTTTGCTGTGTGCAGCTTTCTTGTACATAAGTCACGCATGTAATAAGTATCTTTGTATATCTTATGGATTTGCCCACATCCTTTGTTCTCAAAGCACCTTCTCAGTTTGGAGGCATTATACTTTAATCCCCTCCTTGCACAGAGCCTGACTAATACAGATGTATAGTGATAGCTCATTGTGGTTTTAATTTGCAGTTTCCTAATGGCTAATGATGTTGGATATCTTGTTATGTACTTATTTGCAGTTTGTGCATCCTCTTCAGTGAAATGTCTCTTCTTTTCCCCATTTTTTAATTGTTTTATTTGCTTTTTTTTGTTGAGTTTGGAGAGCTCTTTATATATTCCAGATATTAATCTGAAGGACACACAGATTGAAGCCAAAACTGGAAACAGTTCGGTTGAAAAAGAAGAATAAAACGGGATGAGTTGACCTACTGAATTTTCAAGACTTATTATATAGTTATAGTAATCAAGACCATGTAGTATTGGCAGAATGATAGACTCATAGATCAGTGAACAGAACAGAGAACCCAGAAACAGACTCACACAGACATAGTTTAGGAAACTCGAGAGAGAAGGGAAATCTATCGTATTTACCCATATTTTCTTTACTGTGTTCTCTTTCCTTTCTCTCGTCCTTAAATTCCAAGGTTCTTTCTTTTATCATTTCTTTTCCATTTAGAGAACTTCCTTTTGCCTTTCTTTTGGAATAATTCTGCTGGTGACAAATTCTCTTAGTTTTTCTTTACCTGAGAATGTCTTGATTTCCCCTTTATTCCTGAAAGATATTTTTGCTGGTTATAGAATTCTGGGTAGACAGCTCTTTTCTTTTAGCACTTGAAAATGTTATATCACTTCCTTCTGGCCTCCATGTTTCCGATGTGAAATCTGCTTTCATTCAAATTGTTTATTCCCTGTAGGAAGAATGTAGTTTCCTTCTTGCTTTAAAGAATTTTTTTGTCTTTAGTTTTCAGAAGTTTGGCTGTGATATGTCTTGGTGATTGTATGATTTCTGTTTTTCTATTTTTATGGTCTATTGACTCTTTCCTCTGTCCTCTCCATTCTGCAGTTAAGCCCATCAGGTGAGTTTTTAATTTCAGTTATTGTGTTTGCTAGTTCTAAAATTTTCATTTGGTTCTTCTTTATATCTTATATTTCTTTGCTTAGGCTTTCTATTTTTTCATTTGTTTCAAGAATGTTTGTAATGGCTCATTAAAACATTTTTATGAATGGGCCGGCCTGGTGGCGCACTGCTACAGTGCGCCGCTTGGGAGCGCGGTGGCGCTCCCGCTGAGGGTTCGGATCCCACATACAGACCGGCCGCACACTGGCTGAGCGAGGTGCGGGAGCAACACCGAGGGTTGCGATCCCATTGCCGGTCCCGGTCCGGTATGGGCGCGACACTGAGGGTTGCGATCCGTTGCCGGTCACGAAAAAAGACAGAAAGGAAAAAAAAAATTAATAAATAAAATAAAACATTTTTATGAAGACTGCTTTAAAAGCTTTGTCAAATAATTTTAACGTCTCTGTCATCTTGGTTTGGCATCTATTTTGTTCAATTTGAGATCTTGTTTGTGGTATGACATGTGATTTTTTTTTTTTCCTTTTTGTCTTTTTTCGTGTCCGGCAACGGATCGCAACCCTCAGTGTCGTGCCCATACCGGACCGGGACCGGCAATGGGATCGCAACCCTGGGTGCCGCGCCCGCACCTCGCTCAGCCAGTGAGCAGGAACCGGTCTGTATGTGGGATCCGAACCCTCGGCGGGAGTGCCGCAGCGCTCCCAAGCAGCGCACTGTAGCAGTGCGCCACCGGGCCGGCCCCGACATGTGATTTTTTAATTAAAAGCTAGACATTTTGACTATTATGAGACTCTAGATCTTACTTTAAACCTTTGGTTTTAGGTGTCTTCTTGTGATACAATTCTGTCTTGTAAATGTAAGGTGGGGCGAAAACCTGGACTTTCACTCAGCCTCCATTGACATCCAAAGGACAGGGGTGTCTCCTGGCCCATGGTTGGGGGAGGTTTGGGAGTTCCAGCTACCCACTAGGCCTCCATGGCTAGCAGTAGGAGATGCCTTGTTACTCTTCCATACGTGGCTTCAACTGACACCAGGATGGAGAGGTGGCCTGTTACCTCTATGCAGTAATGAGAGTTGTGACTCTTTGCTAGGCTTCTTCTGACACTACCCCAGCAGAGAGAGGAGGGTGCCTTATTACTACCACAGTAGGTGGAAGTACAGGCTCTCCATGTGTTCTTGTATTAGTCTGTTTATGTTGCTCATAACAAAATACCTGAAACTGGGTGATTTATAAAGAAAACGAAATTTATTGCTTACAGTTTCTGAGACTGGGAAGTCCAAAGTCCATCTGGTGGTGGCAGCAGTGACCCAGAGATCTCACATTGAAGATGGTAGAAGCAGAGAGCAGAGAGAGAGACAGACTCTCCTTTTCTTTTACAGCCCTCAGAACCACACCCTTGACCACCATTTTTAATCTATTCACTACTGCACGGTCCTGCAATCCAATCACCTCTTCAAGGCTCCACCTTTCAGTTACCATAATAGGATTTCTCACCTTCTTGACAGTCACAGTGGGGGCTAAGTTTCTAATTGGTACCAAGTTTCTAAGTTTCTAACAGTCACAGTGGGGGCTAAGTTTCTAATACATAAAACTTGGAGGACACAATTCAAGCTTCAGTGAGTTTTAAGGGGACATAATTCAATGCACTACAGTACTCCATTGACACTGGGGATGGGGAGCCTCATTACTTCCTGGTGGAGATGTAAGTCCTGCCTTCCTACTCAGCCTTCTCTGATTCCACTCCAGTGGTGGGGTGTTGGGGAGAGTGTGGAAGCCGAAGTTCCCCATCAGCCTTTGCTGGCAGGCTACAGGTATTTTGGGTGGTGTTTATCTGGAAGAGAGCAGTATCATCCAGAAGTTTTCTGCTTGCTAGGCTGCCCCTTTCCTGGTTGTTTGGTTAGCAAGAGCGGTTGGTTGTCTTGGGACTTTTTATTGTCTACACCCATTGGTGTTTTCTGATTGCTGGCTTTTCCTGTATCCAGTTTGGGATATAGGAGGAAAAAAGAAAGCCCAGGGAGACCATCATTGCATTGCTCCTCTGGTCCCAAGCCAGGCCCTAGCCAGTCTGGTAGTCTGCCTTCTACTCTCCACCTTTTCAGGGTCTTCTTATGCTTGTTCTGCATATAATGTCCAGGGTTTTTAGTTATGTTTAGTGGGAGAAATAGGAAAGACTATTTCTACTCTATCTTCCCAGAAGTGGAAGTTCTGAGTTGTGACTTTTAATATTTACTGTGTTCCCAACAACTGGTAAGAGTCCCATGCCTTTTCTTTATGTACCACTAAAGCTGCCTTTTGTAATTATTAAAAGGAGTATAAACTACTATTAAAGACATACTAGTGTTGTGCACTACTGTTTATAGCAGCATTATTCAGAACAGCCAAAAAGCAGAAACAATCCAAATGTCTATCAACAGATGAATGGGAAAAAATATATATATACATACAATAGAATATTCAACCTTAGAAAGGAAGGAAATTCTGAAACATGCTACAACATGGATGAACCTTAAGGACATTATGCTAAGTGAAATAAGCTGGTCACAAAAAGATAAATACTGTGTGATTCCACTTACCTGAGGTACATAGAGTAGTCAAATTCATAGAGACAGATAATAGAATGGTGGTTGCCAGAGGCTGGGGGCAGGAAGAAATGGAGTGTTGTTTAATAGGTAGAGTTTCAGTTTGGGAAGATGAAAAGGTTCTAGAAATGGATGGTAGAAATGGTTGCACAGCAATGTGAATGTATTTAGTGTTACTAAGTGTATACTTAATGGTTAAAATGGTGAATATTATGTTATGTATGTTTTGCCACAATTAAAAAAACGTGGTAGTATTCATCTGACGCGTCCTCATGTGGCGAGGTTCAAAAGGACATTGAACATGGGAATGCTCCATGCAGATCACTGTTCTTGTTTGTCTAACATTTGTTTCCATTGGGTCTAAAGTACTGGGAAGTCTAAAATGTACGTAATTCTAATGAAGTTTTTATTTTCAAGTAAAAAGTATAATTAGGTATTAAAGCACAGCTTAGGGATTCATTGTGGTATGGCATTCACTGACACCTGACATTTAAAATAATGAGTCACTTTATTTTAATGGAAGTAGGTACTCAAAAACAGCTTGTTCTTCAGTATATCCAATTGCCTTTGAATAATTTTCAATCTGTATAGCAGCTCTTTATAGTCATATAAAAGTAACTTAAGTGTACATCTTAGGCTGTCTTTTTTAAACTTAGTAAAGTCAAATTAATTTATTCTTTCAGTAATTCATTCAAAAAATATTTATTGCCTGTCTACTGTGTGCCAGGCATTAGTCCAGCACTCGGAAAACTGCAGTGAGCAAACCATTAGGCCATAGTGTGAGGGGAACAGACCGAAGACAATCAAATAACTAACAAATACATGTGTATAACAAATGAATGACAACTAGGGTGAGAGGTCTAGAGAGTGATGGTAAAGTGGCTGTTTTATATAAGGGGTTCAGGAGAGGCCTCTGAGATTTGAGACGAGGCCTGAGGGAAGAAAGACAATGAACAGTGTGGTTTGGGGGAAATAGGAAACAAGAGCCAGTCTTATGAATTTTGTCAGATTTATTTGTACAGAAAATACTGGTAAATTAACTAGATCAGTAAAAGAAAAACCCTCCACAGCTTGACCCATGCCTCCTTTCTAGTTTAGAAGTGGTTTCTCTTTAACATAATAGAAATGGCCTCTTCTTCCCAGCTTTCGTTAGAAGAGCTTTTCTTGGAAGATCTTGCCTCTTAGGCTGTAGACTAGTGTTTCTCAACTCTAACTCTAAATATATCCAGTAAACACCACAGCTTCTGGTGTAATAAAAAGAATATTAATTTCACCCAACAAGAGCTGTGGTTTCTTTGCATTTACTTCCTGAGAGAAAGGTAGAAGACCAAATGAACTAACTTTATATTCTTGTATACAGTGACAGGTACTTGTATTATTATTACCACCTTGTTAAGTCCCTTTAAAACTGTTTTAAACCTATACTATAATTTAAATAAGAATTTTTTTAATCACTTCATTATAATTAAGAAAAAAGAAATCTCATTGTTGTGTTTCTCATCTGCAGAAGGAGTGTGGCACCGTTTACCTTTGTGAGGTTGGGTAATCCATCAGGGTGGGGGTCTCAGAAACCCTTGTTCTATTAACTTGCCAACCCAGGTATGATTTATGGCTCCTAGGTGTAGGGGAAAGTGGCTTTCTATGTTCACATGAAGAATGTCTGAGAGGGAGGCCTTTTTCTTACTGATTCTATCTGTGAATGCCTCCCTCAGTAGGAATAAAGTACTTTTTAAGTATTGGTCAGCTTCCTTCTAGTTAATTACTAGCAGGGAGATAGTGAGGCCTTTAAATATTTGCCTCTGTGCCCCCAGTAGAATATTTTCAGTACGTTGTGTGGGCAGGTGAAAGCTCTGATGTTAGCAATGAGTATTCTCTGCTCAATTGTCATTATGTAGACAGATTTTGTAGTTGGGGAGGTAGCTTTTACTTTCACACAGTCTTAAATATTTTATCAGATTTGTTTGTACAGAAAAAACATTTTGTTTGATTTATCATACAGAAAATGCAAGTAAATTGAATAGGTCTACAAAAGAAAAATGAAAGTTTTTATTTAACTTAGATAGTGATTTGTCCTGATAGCAACACAGTGCAATGAGCCCTTTAAAAGCTTTTTCCTGCTGCGATTGCATCATATACCTAACTCAGACTGTGTTATGTCAAAATGAATAAGAGCATTGTGACTGGGACTCTGATTGCCAGCTTGTTCTGCTGTTCTGTAGCCTCTCCTCTTTGAACTATGACTTTCCATTCTTTGATCATTTGTGCTTGATTTTGCTTACATGTTTAGGTGATGATATTTGAACTGGCTTACCATGTGCAGTCATTTCTCAGCGAGCATAACAAGCCCCCTCCCAAGTCTTTTCATGAAGAAATGCTGGAAAGGCGGGCTCAGGAGGAGCAGCAGAGGCTGTTAGAGGCCAAGCGGAAAGAGGAGCAGGAGGTGAGACACCCTGCTGGTGCGGGTTGGCCAGCCTTGGGGACTGCAGCTTCTGTAGGTTTTTTCCCTATCTCTGCCTGCAGACTTCCCTTGACTTAAGTTTTGCTCAGCATTTGATTCAACAAGTGTGGATTCGTGCAAGAGGAGGCCCACAGAGTAACTGAGAAATACTGCAAGCATTTCCTTCCCAACAAACATCAGTGCTACCCCTCAGAACCTTTAGTCCAAGTCTTAAAAAAAAAGAGAGAGAGAAGAGGCGGCTGTTTAACTAAACTTCCTGTGATCTTTCTGAACTTGTCAAGGTGTACAGGAATTCATTGAGTTTAGAGGCTATTTTCCTCTTTCCTATATGAGAGAAGTATCTAATGCCCAAATGAGTAGCAAAAGCCAGGAAGTAAGCTGTTTTTTATGCTCATTAACCATATGTAGTTTTTCTTTAATCTGTTCGCATGAGGATATAAATTACTGTTTTATTTTTTTAAATCAAATTTAAGTCGAAGATAATATATGCATCAAAGTTTCCTTCTCGATTTTGTTTTTTGTTTTGTTTTTGTATTTTGCCCTGATTAATCAACTAATCTAGACCTTATTTTGGAACATTTTGTAAAATAGAGAGCCTAAGTTTATTTTTGTTCCTGGGCATTTTCCAAACTCATTTATTTATTTATTTATTTATTTATTTTATTTTATTTTTTTCCTTTTTGTCTTTTTTACTGACCGGTAACGGGATCGCAACCCTCGGTGTCGCGCCCGTACCGGGGACTGGCAACGGGATCGCAACCCTCGGTGTTGCGCCCGCACCACGCTCAGCCAGTGAGCGGGAACCGGTCTCCACATGGGATCTGAACCCTCGGCGGGAGCGCTGCTGCGCTCCCAAGCGGCGTACTCTCCAGTACGCCACCGGGCCGGCCCTCCAAACTCATTTATTAAATCATCATTTTTTCTTAAGTGATTTGTAACACTTCCTTAAAGTATATTTCAACTACTTATCTATACTAGGTTCTATTTATAAATTATCTGTTTCGTTCATCTGTTTTCTCTTAAGTCCCTACCATACTCTGAATTATTGATCTGACAAGTCAAGCCTCCTTCCCTGCTCCTTCATCTTCCATTATTTTTTTTTTCCTTATCCATTCTCACCCATTTATTCTTATAGATGAACTGTAGGACTGCTTTCTCAAAGTCAAAAAAAAAAAAAAAGAAAATCAACAGATAAACCCTCTGAAATTGCACTAAATTTATATATTCATTTTAGAAGAACTGACATCTTGACAATATTCAGGCTTTCTCCATTTATTATCTCTTGGTGAGGCTGTCTAGTTTTTTCCGTATATTACTATTTCTTACAGGTACTTCTAGGGTTTTGTTTTTTCCTGCTTTTCTTGGGTTCTTATGCCTGGTTCTTTTGTTTTGTTTTGTTTTGTTTTTTCTGCTCCATTTTGTTCACCCTGTGCCTATGTTAACACTGTCTCTTTGCGGGTCCCGTTCATTTTGTTAACTGCTTATCTCCTGTATATATTGTGTACCCTAGTTACTATTTAAAGTTTATAGTTCCTTGTTGTTTTCATTGTTTTTAGGAAGGCACATTTTTATTAAAAGATAGTGAATATTTAGTTAACAATCTTGTTTACTACTATAGCTACATGTAAGTTTGGTGTTTTGTTTTATTGCTGTTAGGATTTTTGGTGAGTCTCTTAATAGTTTTGATATCTATAATCTGGAATTTAGGGGATTTATAAAAAATGGAGAGATATCAAAATACCACTTTCAATACTGAGAAAGCTGATTAGAGAATGACGATGAAAGTTTATAGCAAGTAAGTGTGATGCCTGGGCCATAGCCACCCCAGGGCGGGCACTGACAATGTCTCAAGCCACTTCCACCAATCTGGACTTGAACTCCATGGCAGAGAGCAGGCACAAGTATCAAAGAGGAAGGGCTACGACAAACACGGGGAGAAGTGAGAGGCCAACAGTGTTGCCATAGGGAAGTCCCTTAAATGCCACTCCCTGCACAGTCCTAAAAGATGGGCACATCTATTGTAAAAGAACCATGATAAGACTAATGGAACTGCAGTTTATACTAAAGGTCTATATCTTCATGTCTTTTGGGAAAGGAGGGCTTGAGTTATTGAAATCCAAAGGATTTTTTTGTAGTTCCAGAATTTATATTTCGTATGGGTTTCAGAGATTGGTATTTGATGGCAGTTTGATTTATTTCAGCAACGTGAAATCCTTCATGAGATTCAGAGAAGGAAAGAAGAGATAAAAGAAGAGAAAAAAAGAAAAGAAATGGCTAAACAGGTACTCTTATCAATTCTACCACACTAAAATGTGGTAAATGTTTAGCTAAACATAAAATGTTTTTATTTCTGTTGATGTTATTTTTCGCTTCTGTGCTACTATCAGTGGCTAAGCTTAAAATGAAGCACTAAAAATAAATAAATAAATAAGTTCATTGTGTCCCCACATAGTTGGCAAAATTTAGAGTTGTATATTATCTGTAGATGACTTAGGCTTATGTAGTTACAGTAATTTATCAAATGAGTTGAGGAAGAGAAGAGATTGAAGCTTTGTTAATCAACTCATACTGGAATTCTTTTTTTTTTTTTTCCCTTTTTTTTTTTTTTTTATTTCCGGCAACGGATCGCCACCCCCCCTGT